AAGTTTGCTTACTTTTGACAGAACTTGACTTGAGCGAAGTTTCTTCATCTCCAGTCCACTCTTGTCCTTCACCATCTGTTCTCGTTCTTTCAAAATCGCCTCACGTTTCTCAAGTTCTTCCTGAAGGGACTCCATTGCTTGTTTCTTGCTCAGAATATTCTCCAGTTCAGTATCCAGCCATTGGCGACGTTCATCTAACTTAGCTGCTTCGTCGCTGGAAGAAAATGTTTAGTTTATTATAGAGAATGGAAAGTTTATGTCAAACGTAGTGGTCCAGAACAGGTAGCATCAATGTCGTATTTAAACTACCTGAAAAAGATATCTCAAACGTGGAGGTCCAGTGTAGGTAGTATTCTACAATAAGCTGTCGTGGTTTGTGTCTGAACTACCTGAAAAAGATATCTCAAACGTGGTGGTCCAGTGTAGGTAGTATTCTACAATAAGCTGTCGTGGTTTGTGTCTGAACTACCTGAAAAAGATCTCTCAAACGTGGTGGTCCAGTGTAGGTAGTGTTCTACAATAAACTGTCGTGGTTTGTGTCTGAACTACCTGAAAAAGATATCTCAAACGTGGTGGTCCAGTGTAGGTAGTATTCTACAATAAGCTGTCGTGGTTTGTGTCTGAACTACCTGATAAAGATATCTCAAACGTGGTGGTCCAGCCAGCTATATTGTAAGGTATTTAAATGAAAATTTTCACATTTTCAGCCCGTGCCAGAAACATTTTGGGGCGGTCCAGCGTTCAACTACAGCGTACAGTGGCGTCGCAAGATAGCATCGCAACAAGATGAAAACCGCTGGCTCTTTCTACCAATGTCGCAGGACATTCGCATTTTTGACGGAAACAACAACTCTGTGACCGTGACGAATCCTGGATATTATGTCGAATGGGAATTCAGAATTAGATCAAATAATGCCAAAGGTAGTGCTCCAGGTTGGACATATGGTACATCGCACTCTGGGCAAGATGGTAAGGAATAACTTAAGTAATTATTCTTTATGTACTATTTAAAAAACGAGCAGGAGTGTTTTATTAGGTTTAAAGCCACGAGCGCGCAGCGCGAGTGGCTTTAGACCTAATAAAACACGACCTGCGAGTTTTTTAAATAACTTCAAAAACGTTTGCATAATAAGTCAAATCTTTATATAAAAATCTATATATAAAAATCTTTATATAAAAATCTTTATATAGTTTGCATAACAATGGTGTTTTGTTAAAGTGTTCTTTAGCTGGTATAAAGACGCATGCACGTGACTAATTTCTTACTCAAGATTGGATAATTGCTTCATGAATTATTAATGAGTTTTTGAAGTGGATTCACAACCCCGAGTCGATAATAGAGAGTTTAGAAAATACAACGACAACGAGAAGATGCTCAACAATAGCATTGCAAGGGCGACGGCAATTTGTATTCCCTTGAGCATTCTAGTTAATGTGATTTAGTTAACGTCAGAATATGGGAAGAACAAAGAAGTAGCTCACGAGCCGCCGAGGCGAGAGACAACGGCAAAATCTTATCTATTTGTTCTATATAATAAAAATGAACGAAAACCCCGAATTAAACAGGCATATGTTTCATTAAACAGCAATATGTTTCACGCAACTTGCAATGGCCATGGTTAAAAATAGCATAAAACCTCGAGTGCTAATGTTTTTCTGTTTGTTCGATGTTTCTCAGCTCCGGGAGTGCAACCATCCGGTCTAAGTCCAGACCGAGTCACAGCAAGATCTGCTGATATCAGCTGGCGACGCGTCACAGCCCCAAGGAATGGCACCATTTTTGGTTATAAGGTATGTACATGGATCTAAGAATCTCTCTGTCCGTACAGAGGTCTCAATTACTGGTTGCAGAACATAGTTTGTCGAAATATTTAGTGTATTGAATTTTTCTGTGTTGGCGTTGTGTTCTCAGGTGAATATGATGCTTGTGATGCAAGGATATTCACCGGAGTACACTACACCAACACAGAAAAATTCATGATTATTAGATTACATTGATATCGAAGGAACTAGACTCGGTTCCGAAATGTAAACAATCATTTTTACTTTAGATTCAGTATTGGCATAGTGGCATTGGAATGCAAGTAGCGTACCAGAGAAACAGAAATATTACGATTGACCTTGAAAGAATCGACGAATTGGAGCAAGAACGCGAGGAGCGAGGCATCTCGAAACGAAGTATCACGAAACGCGACCTACGAAACAAACCGCGAAGAATCAAAGAACGTGACACGGCACTCACGAAAAGCGACTTCAAAACATCGATCGTGTCACGATATCTCACGAGCGTGGGACGACGTTTGCGAAAACGTGACACGCGAGAGCAGAACGTGCCACGAATTCGCAAGAAACGCGAGGACGAGGACGAGAACGTGGAAAAGGAAGAACCGTTGGATCTATGTTTCAATCCAGACGAGCCCTGCTACCAGGATGCCTCCGATAAAGAGCTACAGCTGCAGGAACTTACGCCCTACAAAACCTACCACGTTCGCATAGCCGCGTACAATAGCGGAGGCCTGGGACCTTGGTCTGACGAGTTAATCTTCAATACGGAAGCAGCACCCCCTGGTCCTCCCTACTCCGTCAATACTTACGCTTATGATAAATACTGTAAGCTAACTTGGAAGGTATGTGTGCATTTTGATCAATCAATCAACTTTATTAAAGGGTCATTGTCAACCACAATGCGTTTGTTTTCATCTTAATTATAAACATTTATTTGGTGCAATTTTAGTATAAAAAAGTTAAAATGAGCAAGTATTTATTGGACCATGTCCAAGCGGTAGAGTGCGAACGGGACTCAAAGTCCCATGCGAGTCACTCCCCGTTACAAACTGTAAAGATTTCTTAAATATTACAATAATAGCTATGAAATAACATATGCCAATTACTTGAGCACCAACCAATTCTTAAAACCGCACAACAGTACGATTACACACAAATGATCGGTTGGCCGATTTCAGGTATTGCCGAATGTTAAAATGACAAAATTAAGTTATATTAGTTGACAACACAGAGTAGACGGATATACAGAACTACAACTAGTGTACCCACCTTTCTTGTGCGCGTGCTCGGCAAGTTACTAGATGCATGCATGCGTGCTCGGCAAGTTACTAGATGCATGCATGGCGGTTCGCTTTAACCGCTCGCGGAACTTGCCGAGAACGCGCAGTTGATATTTTTTTTTTTTACTTTAAAATTATTATGGATTGAAAACCGAAACATCTATTATTCCGCCATTAGGCTCGTGATTGAGCCAGAAATGGTTATTTTTACCGCTCGTAATACAAGTATATACAAAATTTGCGAACTTCACAGGGCTATATTTTCTTTATCTTATAACATTTAGCAACCAAACTTTGCAGTTTTACTCAATCTCATACGCTCTTTCTAGCTGTGGTGTTGGATTTCTTCTCGTCTTAGTCACCCGTTTAAATTCTGATAAATTCCCTTTCAGGAGCCTCGCCATAAGAATGGGAAAATTCTAGAGTACGAGGTCTACGGACGACAGATTGTTCGTACGAAGTTGCCATGGTGGATGAGACGTCATATTATTTATAACTTAAACCTTGAAACAGTATACGAAGCAAAGATCAGGGCACGAACAAGTAGTGGCTGGGGAATACCAGTCTTCAGATGGTTCCAAACACACGATGTCGAGGGTTCGTAACAGGGTTAATTTTTATATTTTCAATATCAGTGAAAGCTTTAGGAAACTTTTATGTAAATTCTCGCTTGTCAACTCTCATGCAACTCTTGTTCTGGTTTGATCAAGCAATGAAGGTTGTGGAAACTCTCATGTAAACTCTCGCTTCTCAACTCTCATACGACTCTTGTTCTCGTTTGATCAAGCAATGAGAGTTAAGAAATCTCTCATGTAAACTCTCGCTTCTCAACTCTCATACAACTCTTGTTCTCGTTTGATCAAGCAATGAAAGTTAAGAAAACTCTCATGTAAAATCTCGCTTCTCAACTCTCATGCAACTCTTGTTCTCGTTTGATCAAGCAATGAGAGTTGAGGAAACTCTCTTGTAAACTCTCGCTTCTCAACTCTTATCGGCTGTCCTGTTCGCTTGATCCAATCTTAAAACTAAGATACATTTTGTTACATTCCAGAACTTCCAGCAAAACCTTTAATACCGGAGGTTGTTGGTTATGGCGAGGACGGAGTAAACGTGACATTCATGGAGCCAATACCAGAATCACTCAGAAAGTTTGGAGGGGAGATGGATGAAGACCCGTGGGAGTTACGACCTGTAGGAGGCTTTGAGAATGAACACGTAGGGGTAGGGGGGTACCCGGAGCGATTTTATGTTGTCTATCGTCGAAAATATACGAATGATAAACTCAAGAGAACATCGGAGAAGTTGATGTGGGGACCACGAGATCAGACGTGGATTGTGATCGAGAAGCTCCAGAAAGACACGGTGTATCAGTTTGCTACCATTCCTGTGAATTATGTGGGTAAAGGTCCGAGGAGTGAATGGGCAGATGGACTCACTGGCGGGATAGTGCGTAAGTATGGTTTAATATGTATGGTTAAATGGTGGTAGTGGTGATGATGGTGGTGGTGATGATGGTGATGATGATGATATGATAATGATGATGATGGTGATGATGATATGATAATGGTGGTGGTGATGATGATGGTGATGGTGATAATGATATGATAATGGTGATGGTGATGATGATGGTGATGATGATATGATAATGATGATGGTGATGATGATATGATAATGGTGGTGGTGATGGTGATGGTGATGATGATATGATAATGATGATGGTGATGATGATATGATAATGGTGGTGGTGATGATGATGGTGATGGTGATGATGATATGATAATGGTGATGGTGATGATGATGGTGATGATGATATGATAATGGTGGTGGTGATGGTGATGGTGATGATGATATGATAATGGTGATGGTGATGATGATATGATAATGGTGATGATGATATGATAATGGTGATGATGATGGTGATGATGATATGATAATGATGATGGTGATGATGATATGATAATGGTGGTGGTGATGGTGATGATGATATGATAATGGTGATGGTGATGATGATATGATAATGGTGATGATGATATGATAATGGTGATGGTGATGATGATGGTGATGATGATATGATAATGGTGATGGTGATGATGATATGATAATGGTGATGGTGATGATGATGATGATGGTGATGATGATATGATAATGGTGGTGGTGATGATGATGGTGATGGTGATGGTGATGATGTTGGTGGTGATGGTGTTGGTGTTGATGTTGGTGTTGATGGTGTTGATGGTGATGGTGTTGATGTTGGTGTTGATGTTGGTGTTGATGTTGGTGTTGATGTTGGTGGTGATGGTGATGATGATGATGATGATTATAACAATTATGATGGTGATGGTGATGGTGATGATGATGATAACAATTACGATGGTGATGATGGCAGTTAAAAAAATGTTGAGTACGATTACCACCACCACTGATGATAACTAACTAACAATGTTTTATATTTTCTTGCAGCGAGAGTTGAGAAAATTTATTGGTATCAACGGGACTGGTTCATTGCGCTCATTGTTGTGTTCTTTTCCGCTCTCTTGTTGTTCGTCATCGTAGTTTGCGCCACTGGGCATCTCAAGACCATCTATTATGAAGGTAGGGCTGCTTGCAACTGAGAAAAATGCGAAGGACACCGCGCAAACATGATCCTGTCGAAGGCTTACTAGGACGCCACTGGCTGCCACCACCATATCACGCATAAATTCAATGAAAACAAGACCACATAGTTTCAATTTTAATTAACACAAAAACAAAATTATTGACATGACAAGATGCATTTATGATTAATAAGATATTATGTTGTATCTTGCAGGGATGGATTTACTGAGGAGAGTGTGCACCCCCCTAGCCCTGGCTAGAGAGGGTGCAGGATGGGGGTGCTATTATTCATGATAAAGCAAAAAATTATTACAGACAAAATGAGATACAGTAATTTGAGTAATAACATGATGATAAGCAAACTGTGAACAACAATTACAATTCAAATACTGTAGACAAGCACGAATTTGCAGTGGTGAAGCAAGTTGATGGGTGGGCGGCACACATGACCGACACAACTCGGCACCCAAGCTGGCCCCCCCCCCCCCCTCCCCCACCAGATCATGCTGGATCCATCCCTGATATCTTATGATAAACAACAAATTAAAGTAAATATCTGACCATCCCGGTTCGATTCCCACCACGATCAGGTTAACTTTTCAGCTTGCCCGGTGTGGGTGCACACTCAGAGTAACCACAAAAACATTATATTCACCTGAGTACATAACATCAAAACACACATAAATATCATGATCATAGAACACATTGGTATCGAAGGTACTACTAGACTTAGTTCCGAAATACCACACACTCGAACAGACTTGACCTCGTAGCTCAGTTGGCAGAGCATTGGACTAGTATCCCAAAGGTCGCGAGTTCCCACTGTGGTCAGGCTAACTTTTCAGCCAGCCCGGTGTGGATATACACCAGTGGTATGCACCTGGATTAACATAAAAAACGTCAGAAAAAAAGTAATCAAACCTTTTTCCATATTATAAACCCTAGCTGTCCAAGAGATAAGCCCGCCTTTGCCTTTGCTGTGAGGGGTGTACCCACCTTCAAACCCCCCCCCCCC